AGACTTACAAGGGAATCTAGCTCTTATTTGCTCGGTATTGTGTAGTTTAACACATTATATGAAAGTAAATTACACAAAACAACTTTATAGAATCTGGTTCTCATAATGCACATGTAGATTGAGGGCGGGGGTGATTTGTTAATATAAGATGAATTGTGTTGCTCTAGATTTGCAAAATTACTATTAGACTATTCTACTTTAATACATAATCTCTGGCTTCAGCAAATGGACAGAGATATGGACATTGTCTTTTGCATTGATTTAGCGGTAGATAAATGAAGACACCATTTGCTTAATTTTGTCAAGACGTACATTTCTGAACAGACAAACGTGGTCCTATAAACTTTTTAAACTTGTATGTTAACGGTTCCTCCATACACGGAGGAAATTGTATGCATCCAGTAGTTTCTATGACCTTCACAAAGAACCTCAGGGACAAACCTGTCATTTTTGGTATCAAACTGTAGTTCAGTGTTAGTTCCGGTTAAGCATGAGGGGTCCTCTTTAGGGTCCATTATGTGCAATGAGATTATATAAGACCTGGGATATTTTCTGTCAAAACCACAAAGTAGGGACCTTTTTTAGAGAATTACGAGGGGTATAAGCCCTTAGTCCTAACTAATGAAAGCTTCATTTGTTTGTTTGTCTGATAATTTTTTTCTATTGCAGTAAGGGTGATAAGCTGTTGGAAAGATGCAAACTAAGACTATTATACTAAGGGGTTACTTTTTGTTTGATGGAGTTTTGAGCATAGTTAGTTTGTCTAATTCAATGAGATTCTAACTGCAGGAGATTTATGTCGAGTTGATATTAAGTGGAATGTCTTGCAAATAACTTAAGGCCTGATTTGTCTGATCTAGCTAATTGATACATCTTGAAAACTTCATCGAAGCAGGCAATGACAACAACAATAATAACAAAACATTTATCCTAAATGTTTGAGGTCGGCGTTCGTCAAACCAAAAAAGGGAACAACTGTACATAATTGATTGTGTCATGGAAAATGACTTCCAGAGTGATCATTGTTTTACCTTAAGCATTCCCTGTTAATAATAACATACAGTGTACACCTATTAAGGCCTTTAAGTAGCTAGCAAACCATAATACACAAAGAAGGCAAACCTTAGGACAAGGGGTGGTCAATTGATGGCGAGAAAAGAAACAAATACCCTTCAATTTCATAGAGAGAGACCCCACAAACCATAGAAGAATAAATTAGTGGAATTAGTATAAGAGAAGCAGCATTGAGGGAAACTATGAACTGATCACTCTACTAGGTTAGAAAAAAAGGACTGTTGTCTCAGCTCAATACTACACTCTAGAATTTGAGCCAGACCTCATTAGATTTTTTCTAAGCGTGTGCGTTTGCAACTGCTAACCTCTCACTATGACCTATCTTTTTCTCATCTATTGTCATATGCATGCTCTCTTCTAGGAGGCAGTTACTACATATGAAAAAGTTGAATGTAGCAGATTTTGATTGCAAACTATGATAGCAGCTTTAGATTTATTTTTTTCCATTGCTTTCTCTCTGTGATCTTGTCTAGTTGTTGAGCCATCTTCGGAGAGAGATAAGGTCACCCCGTCACCAACTACCCCGCTTCTAAACAACATGTTATAATAATCCCCAATAATCCACCAGTTTCTCTTTATTTTTTAAATTGCTCAACTACTTAAAATTAACAAACTATAAACAGAAACCTGATTCAATTAATCTTGTTAATCCTGCCTCCTGAATTTGGAAGTGATCAGTTGAGCAATAATGCAAATTAAAAAACAATGAGTAGTAATTTGTAATAGTTTTATATTTGGTTTACTAGAGTATGTAACTTCTACCAACTTATTAAGATTTATTTTTCTCAAGCTTAATTATTAAGTAAATATAGTCACTAATCAGCTTAAAATTAGCTCCATCGTTTTGTTGTAGGCTCTTCACGAAGCCTGACAGGGTGGCCATAGACCCAGCAGCTCCATGTATATGCCCCCGTCCAATAGCTCCATGCACGTGCCTCTCCCTTCCTTTCGCTTGCCGTTTCGTACTCTTGAGTGCGGCAGACCAGACGGCACACTGGGTGTCACACCGGGCAGCACATCGGGTGGCACACCTGGCAACACACTGGGTATTGTAGGGGCTCGCAAAGAGGCTGACACACCAGGCGGCGGAGGGGTCGGCGGAGAGGGCGGTGACGATGGTCTCTTACGGCGCTTGCTAAAAAATAATATTGTACGAACTAATCCGCCCTCTCTTGACCCCACGGTGGTTGCCGCAAGTACCGTAGTCGAAGTAGAAGCTAAGGCATAGTTGAGCAAGACGACATCATCATGGTGATGCCGTAAGAGACCGTCGCCAACCCCTCCACCGCCCCCTCTGCAGCCTGGTCTGTCAACCTCTCTGCGAGCCCCTATAATACCTAGTGTGCCACCCGGTGTGCCGCCAAGTGTGCCACCCGGTGTGCAGCCCGGTGCGCCGCCTGGTCTGCCGCACTCAAGAGTACGAAACGGCGAACGAAAGGAAGGGCGAGGCACGTGCATGGAGCTACCAGACGGGGGCACATACATGGAGCTGTTGGGTCTATGGCCACCCGGTCAGGCTTCATGAAGAGCCTACAACAAAACGATGGAGGTAATTTTAAGCTGATTAGTGACTATATTTACTTAATAATTAAGCCTGAGAAAAATATATCTTAATAAGTCGGTAGAAGTTACATACTCTAGTAAACCAAATATAAAACTATTGCAAATTACTACTCACTATTTTTCAATTTGCATTGTTGCTCAACTGATCACTCTTCCAAATTTAAGAGGTAGGATTTATAAGATTAATTGAATCAGGTTTCTATTCACTGTTTATAGTTTGTTAATTTCAAGAAGTTGAGCAATTTGAAAGTGAACAAAATAAAGAGAAACTGATGGATTATTGGGAATTATTACGACATGCTGTTTAAAAGCGGGGTAGTTGGTGACGGGTTGACCTTATCTCTCTCCGGAGATGGCTCAACGACTAGACAAGATCACAGAGAGAAAGCAATTAAAAAAATAAATCTAAAGCTGCTATCATAGTTTGCAATCAAAATCCGCTACATTAAACTATTCCATATGTGTAACTGCCTCCTAGAAGAGAGCATGCATATTACAATAGATGAGAAAGAGATAGGTCATAGTGAGAGGTTAGCAGTTGCAGACGCACACGCATGGAAAAAATCTAATGAGGTCTGCCTCAAATTTTAGAGTGTAATATTGAGCTAAGGCAACAGTCCTTTCTTTCTAACCTAGCAGAGTGATCAGTTCACAGTTTCTCCCAATGTTGTTTCTCTTATCCTAATTCCCCTAATTTATTCTTCTATGGGTTGTGGGGTCTCTCTCTATGAAATTGAAGGGTATTTGCTTTTTTTCTCCCCATCAATTGACCACCCCTTGTCCCAAGGTTTGCCTTCTTTATGTATTATGGTTTGCTAGCTACTTCAAGACCTTAATAGATGTACATTGTATGTTATTATTAACAGGAAATGCTTAGGGTAAAACAATGATCACTCTGGAAGTCATTTTTTCATGACAATCAATTATGTACAGTTGTTCCCTTTTTTGGTGTTTCCATTTATCTACCGCTAAATCAATGTAAAAGACAATGACCATATCTCTGTTCACTTGCTGAAGCCAGAGATTTTGTATTAAAGTAGAATAGTCTAGTAACAATTTTGCAAATCTAGTGCAACACAATTCATCTTATATAAACAAATCACCCCCTCCTTCAATCTACATGTGCATTATGAGAACCACATTCTATAAAGTTCTTGTGTAATTTACTTTCATATAATGTGTTAAACTACACAATACTGAACAAATAAGAGCTAGATTCCCTTGTAAGTCAAATTATGTTCTCACTGCAGTCTGGAATTTTAACGCCAAGAAAATGTTGGTTCTCCGGTATGAATTGAACTTTGAAAGTTTTCAAAGGTGTTGGATATTGGTGTTGCTCGGTCATATTTTTATGAGTATCACCTAAAGATTCAATCAAATAAATGAATTCCTTTATATTCTAAAATTGCTTACTGACTATAGAATTATTAATTTGAATTATCCAAGTTTTTAGATCCATTAACCAAAAGCTTATCAAGAAAACTTTCCAGGAACTACAGAAAATAGACTGAGCAGCAAGTAGAACAAAAATCACTCTAAAGAATTTTGTGAAACAAATTAACAATAGAGGGAAGCTAAACCAAAAGAAAGCAAGAGCGAGTGGATTCATACAATATCATCAAGATGCCAAACGAAGAAGAAACTTAAATATAGTAACAGAAGCATTTAAAGAGTGTATACATGAGTCGATCTCGCCAACCTCGACGGCAATCTTGGAAACGGCGATCTGCTCGGCGGTGGCGGCGGGGACAATGGCCAAGGCGTAATCAACCATGTTCGTTTTGCTCAAAAGCTCGATCTTGGCCAAGGCGTAATCAACCATGTTCGTTTTGCTCAAAAAGCTCGATCTTGGCCTCCAAGATGCCGTCGTCGTTGTAAAAACCGTTGCGGAGAGAGGAGGGGAACTGATGGGATTGAGGGCTTTCTTTCCTCTCTGGTGAATGAGGAGCGGGGAAAGGGGTGAGAGAAGAAAGAGAGGAGAGGCGGCGGAGGAGAGAGGGGAGGGGGGGGGGGATTTAGGGCTTTCTTTTTCTCTCTAGGGAATGAGGAGGGGGGTGAGAACTGAGAAGAGAGTCACAGGGGTTTTTATCAAATTTTGAACAACCGAACCGAACTGCCCACTATTCAAAACCGAACCGAACCGAACCGAACCGTTGCACATCGGTTCGGTGCGGTTCGGTTTGTTCGGTTGTAACTTCATCAGACTTTCAATAGTCTAGCAGGAAACTATATGCAAAACTTGAATATGTTCCAAACAATAGATTAACCAGTGGCAATTCATGTTCATGATAAATTGAAAAGGACTTGAAATTGAAAAGAGAAGTCAATGAGGGACTTACTTGTAAACTAGCCCCACCGAACAACTATGACGGCAGCAAGATACTATCCACAGTTAGAATACAGACCGGGGTATCATCAAGAACCGTCTCTGCAATGCGAGAACTCCCCATTCCAGTCTTCAAGCTCACATCATCGCCATGAGAACTCACAGTCAGATCAAACTTGCCAGCTCCACTGGTGGCGATGGGACGATCAGTTCCCTTCAACGACGTCTTCGGAGAATAACTCGGCAACGCGTGGTACTGCAGCAACGTCACAAGCTCAGCGCTACTGAGCTTGTTCAGATCCGGAATCCCCTTAGCCTTGAAAGCCTCGTCGTTAGGCACAAACAGTGTCAGCCCCTTGTCCTCAACAGCCTCTAACATCTTCAGAACTCCCGAGCTCTCGACGAGACCAGCAAAAGTCTTGCACCCGGCTTTTTCAAGAAGATGGCGGTGGCAGTGGAGGGAGCATCGAGAAGACCGAGGAAAGTAATGGGATCGGAGATCTCGAGGACGGAGATGTTGTAGGGGATTTGCTTGACGGACTTGGTGTAGTCGGCGACGAGCTTGGAGCCGAGGGCGGAGCCATGGCAGATCTGGAGGCGGCTGCAGCCATGGCCGACTTAGACAGATTCGGCGCAGGGATGGCTAGATCTGGACGAGGGAGAGATGTATCTAGCTATAGGGCTGGATGGGTATGGCTGGAGATCGCCGGATCTTGGACAAGGATGGTCGGAGCCGAGGTTGGAGGCGGCGGCGACTGGATCTGAGGTTGGAGAAGAGGAGAGTTAGGTTTAGGGCTGGTGGAGTTTGGGACTTTATAGTAAGTGAAGTACACGGGTCGGGTAATAGAAAATGGGTATGGGTTATGGGCTGTCGGTTTTGGTGGTTCGGACGGTTCGGGTTGAAAAAATTTCAACCCGACCCAAACTGATTTAGAACTAAAACCAAAATGAACCGTTAATTTTCGGTCGGTTCGGTCAGTTTTTTCGGTTTGGACCGAACCGTACACACCCCTAGCGAGAACTAAGAAGAGAGTCACGGGGGTTTGTTTTTTATTGGAGGATTACTGTACCGGGCGGAGGAGAGAGAATTACTATAGCAGTGACAGTAATTCTCTGATGATACTCACTTGTCATAAATAGATGATTACTGTGGCGGGTGGAGGAGAGAGAATTACCGTAGCTTGAACAGTGATTCTCTGGGACAATAGGTTAGAGGATTACTGTAGCAGGATGGAGGAGAGAGAATTACCGTAGTATGAACAGTGATTCTCTGATACTCCCTTCCGTGTAGAGGAATAGATGAGTAGATTTCATAGCATGAATATACTCACCTTGTGTAAGCACATGATGTAAATTTAACATAATATGTAATGATATCCCGGTTGGAATATTAAAGTGAAATGAAATTGCAACTTGTGGGATATCAGAGTGTTTAAAAGTACTTTGGCGTATCAAAGTGAAAATATAGTGAAGTTTGGAGTACCAAAGTGAAAATAAGGCTAACATCTATTGAGCAATTAGGTAAGATCCAAATCTTATCCAATTAATAACGGGTCAACTGGCATGATCTAGGTATGATTTGAATCCAATTATGACTAACCCATACTCCCTAATTCCGGGTAGAAAATATTAAATGCTTAGTACATAGATGAGGATGTACCAACATGGCAATATGCTTAATTGAACTAAAATAGAAATGCAATTTTTTACATAAATTACATGGTTAAAGTCTTACCTACAACGAGTATGAAAATTATCCAAATGTTTGAACTCATTCATGGCTTTATCTGTACTGCAGTATTAAATATAACGAGTATGAAAATTATCCAAATGTTTGAACTCATTCATGGCTTTATCTGTACTGCAGTATTAAATATACTGACTTCTCTTCATCTCATCTTCTTCCAGCTGCAAAGTTTTACTTACGTCAAGTGTGAAAGCATTTGGCTATTGAGTCTAATTTGATGTGTTCTGCACAAAAGTTGACACGCTCCATTCTAGAGCTTGTGCCTTTGACCTTTCAAAACTTCATCAACTTGTATCAGCAACAAATCATCCCTCTCTCAATTTCTTTAATTTTTTTTATTTATCGTTTATTATCCAGCTGCTTGGCCGAACATTTGGATAGTTTTAATGCATATTCCCTCGATATGAATAAAATATTTTCAATTGATAATTTTCAACATAAAATGGAGCTACATCTACAATGGTATCATGATATTATCAATATTAAAAGCACTTGGAGTTCGCCTGCACTTGGGGTTCGCCTGAACTTAGCTTCGTCTGTGATCCAAGTTCGCCTGAACTTAGCTTCGGGCTTCGCCTGAACTTCCAAGTTCGTCTGAACTATCGAGTTCGGTTGAACTTCCAAGTTCGCCTGATTTCTTAACTTAGAGAAATCTTTGCTTTGTGTGCTTGTTCTAAGGTTTAGGTCTACACTCCCAAAACCAACAAAAACATTGGGTTTTTTTTCCTTTTTACGAACTAAAATGATCTCTATTTTATAGAAAAATAATATTCAAAGAGAGCTTGAGAAATACCAAGAGAATCTAGCTGACTTGATAAACTATGTAGGACTCTAGAATCTTAGGTCCAACTCTTCTTGAAGAACACCCAAAAAAAATTAATTTTCTGAAAGACCGGTGGCCATAGGTTAAGAGTGCCTCTTAACCATGTTTGAAGATTTGATGCTCATAGTGCAAAAGAATGTGGGTTACTTCTTTACGTATAAAATTCAACAAAAAAGTAAAATACTAAGATAAGAATGTACCCACACCCAACTCAGATAAAGACACACTAAAAGAAAAGGCCAAAACAATTCAAATCACCATGTGCTCGGCCTCAGCCACCATGTGTACCTTGCAATCCTATTGACCATTTCTACTAAAAAAATAATTATAATTATAACATTCACTCTAAAAATAGTATTTTAGAGATAGCATCAAAACAACTAGTAGAGCCACCAACTACTAAAATTCATCAAATTCGACTTTTCGACTGGGTTATAGCTAGGTAAATTCCTTCTCAAAAGAGAACAAAGAAGCAAGATGATGGCGTTAGCAAAATCTCAATCATTCTCTTCTCCAAGAGATTTATTTGTCCTTTGCTTGATCCTCTGCATCTTGTTGCTTTCAACTGAGAGATCCTCTGCTCAAAACAAAACTGACCCTGCCGAAGGTACATACATCACTTTCTCTAGCTTTACTTTTGAGTTCAAGCTGATATTATACTATTACAAACCTCTTTGTGGAACTATATGTGGGTTTTAGAGTATAATCCCTCGGTCTAATCTCTTTGTGAGGATTAAGAAAGATATAAATCGCTGGATAAGGATAAGGATGAAGCCAGGTCATGTAGTTGACTTGTTTTCTTTTTTGAGAAATGATTGAATTGGTTTCTAGATATAAATCGCTAGAGACCAGAAGTTTTATTTGTATTTTAAAATCTATTTTAATTGAGGGGATTTTCTAAACAAGTCTCAATTTCTTTCAAATGCATTCACTTTTGTGTCTCACCAAAAGGGAGGAATACAATTTTAGCATTAATATTTTTTCCAGGTTTTTACATATTAAGGTGACATATCCCCTTTGAAATTTATTTCTTTCTTCTTGTAACATTTAGGATGTAAGTTCACTCCTTATTATGGTCAATGATAAAAGGAAATAATTAAATCTGTAGGAGTTATGAACTGATCTAGTAATCCAGTAATGAACTATTGCAGAAGATACTTGGTCTAAACTAAATATTATTGACTTTTAGATGAATAGGCTCCTTAATCAGGCACAGTCGCTACTCATGTCAAATGCTAAGTTGAGTTTCCAGTATGTATTATTTTCGCTCATGTTATTAACAGTAAATAGGAGAGTATGATACAAGTTGCAAATAAAACAATTTCTTAGTACTCGATAAATCATCGTAATGACATAATTTACTTGGTCAATCGATAAACGGTTGCACATAACTTGCGCTTGTACTTTACATTATATATTATGTCACCATTAGATGATTGGTGATATCGTAATAGAATTATATATTCTCTTGATCCTAAACCTGCAGAGGTATAAATCAAAGACAGTTTAAATGAAATTTCCAAGGGAAAAGTATAATTGTTGAAGATTCAACAAATCTTGATGTTAGTTAGCATGTTCTTATGAAAATATACTAACTTGTACATGTGCGTATTGTGATAGTGAAAGCACTGAACACAATACTCGGGAACCATCAGTGGTGAACCATGCTTTGAAAACACTGACATAAACCCATTCATCAAATGCGACTGCACTTCCAACACTACATTTTGCCATATCACCCACCTGTAACTACTGAAATCTCTCTAATATGCATCCCCTTTATTTTATTCAGCAAAGAAGCTAATACTTTGATGGATCATCATGTAATGAAATAAGTCTCAACTAAAAAAAGACAACAGAAATGAGATAAGGACAAATGAAAATAAATTGATGCCTTCTGACAAATAACTCACCTAGAAATTGTGATTATGCCTTCTAAAAATCTTCATTCGTCAAGATCTCATATTTTAATTAGTCCATCAAACCATTCAAGTTTCTATTAGGTCCCTTGATTCAAATAAATTGATTTGAATAATTTTTTCTCACCAAAAAGGGTGCGGGGGGGGGGGGGGGGGGGGGGGGATTCATAGAGTCCTTCAAAGAAAATTGCTTTTTTTATATTGGTCCCTTAAATTTTCATATCTTAAATTTAGTCGATCAAATCAGATTCAAACAGTCCTTCAAAGAAAATTGGTTTTTTTTATATTCGTCCCTTACATTTTCATAATTTGAAATTAGTCGATCAAATCATCCAAGTTGCTATTAGGTCCCTTGATTCAGATAAGTTGATTCGAAGAGTTTTTTCCTCACCAAAAAGAAAAAAAGATTCAAGGAGTCCTTCAAATCATTTAAAGTGCTATCCCAGTTCTCATAATTTGTTGCAAATTAGAGTGGTAATAGTAACCCAAAGCATGTGTTATTAGCAGCTGTACATTACAGCAAACAACAACGTCATTCTAGTATAGTGGTGAGTATACCCACAAGTCACGTGGGCGACCTGGTTTCGATCCCCAACAACAACGTCCTTTTAGTTCTTTTTCAGAGCAGAAGTTTTAATTTTTGGGCCGAAAACATTTACAAAGGTTCAATTTTTGGGCCGAAACGTGCAACATCTAATAATAATTTGCAGTCTTTTATTTATAACACAAAAACGATAAAAAAACGTGTTACGGATTTATTTGACACTTACTTTCAATTGGGGGATGATGTAGGGCTTTAGGAGAACTCTACATTAGGCATCTCATAGAAAAATGTCTCTCCAACTATCTATCTTTGAAATTCCATTTTTTTTAAAAAGTAACTTTGAAATTTCTCAAAAAAAAATATTTATCTTTGCAAAATAAAACATTTTCATCTATGCTAAATTATGTAGTACAAATTTGAATCCTCCCTGTTGTATAATATAGTGAGGAATGGTGATTCATTGTTGTCACAACTGCTAATTATCTATTTAATAATTGTGATTAACCGGTTTCGATCCCCAACAACAACGTCCTTTTAGTTCTTTTTCAGAGCAGAAGTTTTAATTTTTGGGCCGAAAACATTTACAAAGGTTCAATTTTTGGGCCGAAACGTGCAACATCTAATAATAATTTGTAGTCTTTTATTTATAACACAGAAACGATAAAAAAACGTGTTATGGATTTATTTGACACTTACTTTCAATTGGGGGATGATGTAGGGCTTTAAGAGAACTCTACATTAGGCATCTCATAGAA